GCTGGTCTTGATCTCTTGACCTCAGGTGATCTGCCCACCTCAGCCTCCCAAAGTGTTGGGATTACAGGTGTGAGCCACCATGCCCACCCCTCTTTTCTTCTTTTTAAAGATAGGGTCTCACTGTGTTGCCCAGGCTGGAGTGCAGTAGTGCAATCATAGCTCACAGCAGCCTCAATCTCATGGGCTCGAGCGATCCTCCTGCCTCAGCCTCCTGAGAAGCTACACGCCACCACCATGACTGGCTAATTTTTTTTCTTTGAGATGGAGTCTCGTACTGTTGCCTGGGCTGGAGTGCAATGGCACAATCTTGGCTCACTGCTACCTCTGCCTCCCAGGTTCAAACGATTCTCCTGCCTCAGCCTCCTGAGGAGCTGAGATTACAGGTGCCTGCCACCATGCCCAGCTAATTTTTTGTATTTTTAGTAGAGACAGGGTTTCGCTATGTTGGCCAGCCTGGTCTCGAACTCCAGACCTCATAATCTGCCCCCCTCAGCCTCCTAAAGTGCAGAGATTACAGCCTTGAGCCACTGCATCCGGCCAACTGGCTAATTAAAAAAAAAAAAATTTGTAGAAATTAAAAAAACATTGTGGTGGTGTATACTTGTAGTCCCAGCTACTCAGGAGGCTGAGGCACAAGAACCACTTGAACCCAGGAGGTGGATGTTGCAGTGAGCTGAGATGGCATCGCTGCACTCCAGCCTGCACAGCAGAGTGAGACTCCATCTCAAAAAACAAAAGGAAACTAAAAAAATAATTTTTTTAACCCCAAGGATTACAGGCATGAGTGACCGCACCTGGCCCTTCACACACCCTCTTTGCTCTTACATGGACTTCCTCTAGCCCTAATGCACTTCCTGTCTTCCTCTCCTACTTCCTGTCTTCCTCTTGCATTTCTGAGGACCGCTAGCTGGGTGCCCTCAGGTTAGGCCCTAGGGTTGTTGGCACGCAGTGCCCCTCCCCTCAGCATCCTCTCTCATGGTCTTAGCCTACACTCACCTTCTCGGTGTCCTCCTTCTTCACTTGCTTGAGGTGGGCACGCAAGTCCAGGGACTCCTTAGCCCGGGTCCCCAGCAGCGCCTGCATCATGGCATCCGCAGAGATTCTCACTCTCCGCAGGGTGGGCCGCTTAAACTTGCCACGAAGGTCGAAGATCTTCTGGGTCAGATCTGCGATCTGGAGGCGGCCATACAGGGAGGTGAAGACATCTCCCTCCATTTCCCCCTCACCCAGCTCTTCCATCCTGCACTCCATTTTTATTCTCCTTATCCTGTCTTCCAGTACCAAAGCCTCATCCAGTATCTTCCCGGCCTAAGCTCCCAGTCTAACTTTTTTTTTTTTATTTTTCTTTTTCTTTTTTTTTTTTTTTCAGACAGAGTTTCACTCTTGTTGCCCAGGCTGGAGTGCAATGGCGTGATCTCAGCTCACTGCAACCTCCGTCCCCTGGATTCAAGCGATTCTCCTGTCTCAGCCTCTGGAGTAGCTGGGATTACAGGCATGCACCACCAAGCCTGGCTAATTTTGTATTTTTAGTAGAGATGGGGTTTCTCCATGTTGGTCAGGCTGGTTTTGAACTCTCAACCTCAGGTGATCCACCCACCTTTGCCTGCCAAAGTTCTGGGATTACAGGTGTGAGCCAATGCACCCAGCCTTTTTTGTTGTTTGTTTGTTTTGGAGATGGAGTTTTGCTCTTGTTGTCCAGGCTAGAGTGCAATGGCTCGACTTTGGCTCACCGCAACCTCTGCCTCCTGGATTCAAGCAATTCTCCTGCCTCAGCCTCCCTAATAGCTGGGATTACAGGTATGTACCACCAAGCCCGGCTAACTTTTTATTTTTAGCAGAGACAGGGTTTCTCCATGTTGGTCAGGCTGGTCTCGAACTCCTGACCTCAGTTGATCTGCCTGCTTCGGCCTCCCGAAGTGCTGGGATTCAGGTGTGAGCCACCGCACCCGGCTCGTCCTCTCCCAGTCTAAGCTTCTAAACCTGGAACTGAATCACCCTCCTAATGTACTCCAGTCTCACCTCTCAAAACCAGTGGTATAACCTGCATCAGCTACATGCAAATCACAATTCCCTGAGCCAATTTACTAACATGGTATGCCCTGAACATGTCCACTAACACATTTTCTGTTTCCCAGCCCGTGGCCTCGAATGTGCTGTTCCCTCTGCCTAGAACAGCTTTCCTTCACGATATCGCACTCATCCTTCTGCCCCAGCCCTGCCAGGCTCATGGTTGTCCTGGGTCTCCTGGGATGTGCAGCCGAAAGCAGCTGCAAGGGGTCAGGCTGAGACCAAGTCTCAGGCATCTCGCCCTGCCCTGAAGGTACCCAAGCTGCGCATGCATCCCACCTCTGTGATGTTCTTGGTAACTTTTGCCTCTATGTCATATCTCTCTTCATCCACCTTGTCCACACGGGCGTGGAGCTGTCGGCACAAGTCCTGGAGGAGAAGTGTGGTGTGTGCTGTTGGGGGAAGCCTGGGGGCCCGGTGACCTGGATTCCTGGGTCTGAGGGAGGAGGGGCTGGGGGCCTGGACTCCTGGGTCTGAGGGAGGAGGAGCTTGGGCCTGGACTCCTATATGGGAAAGGAGGGCCAGATGGTCCTGAAGGAGTAGATTGGAGCCAGGACTCCACAGACTTGCAAACAAAGGGCGTTAGGGGCCAGGAGTCCAATGAACCGTACAGAATTGGGTAAGGACAGTCATACTAGACCCCTGGGTCCCGAGCAGAAGGGGGGATAGGGACTGTACTGCTGAATTCCGGGGACTAGAAACCTCGGATCCTAGGCTGGGTGAATCCTTGCCTTGGGAGCGGGTACCTGCAGCTCCGCGAAGCTTAGACCGGCCAACTCCAGCGGCTGGCAGCGGGTGCTCAGGGCGCGCCCCTTCTCTCCGCGCCGCTCCTCCGCCTCTCGCTCCAGTTCCTGCTTTGCAATCTGCAGCATCAGGGTCTGCGGAGAGGTGTGAGGTTAGCGCAGCCCAGCCGGGGCATCAGAATAAAGACCAGGCCTGGAGAAGCCGCCCGTGCTCTTCTAGCCACTCGAGTTGGGTCTCCACCTTTCCAAAGACCCGCCCACCCCGTGCGGGACTCCGCGCTAAAGCCACGCCCCGAACGCCCAAGCCCCGCCCACCTGCCCGAAGCCAAACACACTACCAAGCTCCGCCCCCTGGGCAGCGCCAAGCTGCTTCCCTCTCCCGCCCGTCCTCACCTTCAGCTGCAGTTTTCTCGAGGCGGAGATCTTAGACTTTTTCTGCCAGGGTGAGATGGAGCAAGGAAGGATCATGGAGGGGGATCCGGAGACGACGGTGTAGGGGGCCTCAAGACACCGCCGGCAAGCCCAGCCGGTCCAGATTTGGGCCCACCTCCAACTTGAGCGCTGAGTCTATGGGAGGCCACGCCCCTCATTCCCATCCACCAATCCAGGTCTCTGCCTTTGGCTCGGCACTGCCTATCTATCCCTAAGCAGGTCCAAGGGCAACGGAGCTCCGCCCACAGGCGGCTCTCACCAATCCGAGCGCGACCCTCTGCGAAACTCCGCCCCTGAAGCGCCTCTACGTAGGCCCCACCCCCTTTACTGCCCTGGCTCCTCCCCGCGCCCCAGGGTCTCGGGTCTCTCCCGCGGCTGTCCTCGGCCCCCCGGAAACCCCGTCCCACCTTGGCGTGCGGCTCCGTGGCGTACGCGCGGTAGTTGGAGGAGCGGCGTCTGACCGGGGCTGGTGCGGGGCGAGGTTCCCCAGCCTGGGGTGGGAGGAGTGGGGGCCCCATCACCACCAAGACCCCACCCAGCCCTCACCACACCACACCCTCTAGTCCTAGGGCTGCAGCCTCCCCACAGTCCCCTTACTGCAGCGCCCGCCCCGGCCCTGGGGGTCCCAGCCACGCCTTAGCCCGCTGCTCTCACCGCATCGCTGCTCCTGGAAGGAGAAAAACCAGGGAGGGGGTTAGTGGTGGGCTGTGTCCTGTCTGCCTCCTAAGGGACCCCGGAGACCCCTCTGACCAAGAGATCAGGGGACACCGCTTCCCCTTCCTCGGGTTCCAGGAGTCTGACTCGCGACTTCCTCTCTTCACCCAAGAGTCCCAACCGTACCACCCGTCGCAAGCCAGGGGTCCAGCCTCTCAGCTCGGACCCCTCTTGGGACCCCGGGAGGTCACCCCAACTCTCATTGCCTTGGGGAGTCACTCACTCATCCGCCATGCTGAGATTCAGACCCGGAATGGCAGGAGGCAGGGAGAGGACAGGGGATTTTGGAGGGTCAGTGAGGGGGTGGCCCGGGTGACCTTCAAGGTCCCAGGGACCGTGAGTCTCCTCCGGGCTGCTCGAGCCTCCCCGGGGACACTGAGATAAAGGGCGGAGGACAGAGACTAAATATACTGCCTCCTCCTCCCCCCCTGCCCACCATGGGAGATAATGGGGCGCGTGAGGGGCGGGACGGGCCCTGCTCCAGCTGGATCACCAGCCACCTCGGGGCACAGGAATCCGGATCCTTCTCCCTCGGATCCTGGAGTCCTAGACCTCTCCTTCCTCAGACCCAGAGAATGCCCTTCCTCCCAGCCACCTCCTCCCTAAGACCCAGGACTCTGGGGGACCCCAGCCCCTCCCTCAGACAAGGAGTCTGGGCCCCCAGCCCCCTCTTCCCTCAGACTCAAGAGTCCGGGCCCCCAGCACCTCCTCCCTCAGACCCAGGAGTTCAGGCCCCCAACCTGTCCTCCCTCAGACCCAGGAGTCCAGGCCCCCAAACCCTCCTCCCTCAGACCCTGGAGTCCAGGCCCCCAGCCCCTCCTCCCTCAGACCCAGGAGTCCAGGCCACTCAACAATGTTGTGTTTAATTTGGAGTGCAGCTGTGCTGGGGGCCAGCTCTCAGCCTACAGCACTGAGAAATCCATCTCTTGTCCACTTGGAAACCCAGGCATCTGGTTTCTGACCTCTTCTGTCCACCACTCCTAGGCCTTTCTCCCCCAGCCCTGGAGACAGACATAGGACAGCAAAGACACTTGGACACACAGAGGGGTGGACACACTTGCTTTACTCGAAACATCTGGGTGCTGACCAGGCCCTGGTGCGGAGAAACCCTAGACCCCAGGCAGCCACAGGGTACCTGGGGACAAGGAGGGCAGAAGTGAAGGGCCTGAGACTGAGGGTCAAATCCTAGGCTGGGCTTAGAGTCTCAGAAGTGGAATTTGGAATTCTGAGAGAACAATCTAGAATTCTAGGAATAGACCGCAGAATCCCAGAAATGGAATTTGAAATTCTAGCAACACCCCTGGCATGGGGATGACGGGTACTGAGTGGGAATCATGAGAATAAAGTTGAGGGCTCCAGTGGCAGGCTTAAAATGGTATCAGCGGGTTCTAATTCTACAACCTGACTTTGGAAGCTGGAGATAAGGGGCGTCTAGGGGTCAGGTCAGACTCCAGTTTTGGAGTCTGACTCACTGTTGGGCGGGGGCAAAGCCCCCTGGGGCAGAGCCAGAACCTTGGAGAGTGAACCTGGAGATGCAGAGGGCGGCTGGCAGGGCTCAGAGTGTGGGGTCCCGCCCTGCAGAGGATCGGTCAGGTCCTCGGGGGAAGGGCTACGGGCTTCAAGAGGCTGGGCCAGGACTTCAAGGGGCAGAGTTCTGGGTTCCACAGCTGGGTCAGTGTTGCCCAGAGCCAATTCCGGGGACTTGCAAAAACGTGCGAAGGTCTCTGAGTGCCTGGCCCCGGCCTGTGGAGAGAATCCAGCTGCCTGAGCCAGCTCCCCGACCCGGGTGTTGAAGCCCTGCAGCTGCTCCTGCCGCATGTCCACCAGGTACCTGCCGATGGGAAGTGCCACGTCAGGGACCCAGATTCTGACCCCCAGCCAGGACAGGCCCCACCCTCCACCCCACTGGCTCACCGGGCTAATTCCACAATCAGGTTCCCTCCCGGTGCCACACAGGCCCCAAGTTCAGGGCTGAGAAGATGGACCATCCTGCAGAGAGGACAGAGGACAGGCTGAGATTCAGCTTTAAATCCAGAGGGAGGATGGGGCTCTGGGAACCCAGACGCTGAGGGAGGACGGGCTGCAATACTGGAGTCTGGGTCCTGGGGAAGAAGGGGGCAGGAGGTCTGGACTCTGGGGTACCAGGGAGGAGGGGCTGGGGCTGGACTCCTGGATCTGAGGAAGGAGGAGATGGGGGTCTGAGGGAAGAGGGGCTGGGGCCTGAACTCCTGAATCTGAGGGAGGAGGAGATGGGGGTCTGAAGGAGGAGGGGCTGGGGACTGGACACCTGGGTCTGAGGGAAGAGGGGCTGAGGGGCTGAGGGAGGAGGGGCTGGAGCCTGGATTCCTGGGTCTGAGGGAAGAGGGGCTGAGGGGCTGAGGGAGGAGGGGCTGGGGCCTGGATTCCTGGGTCTGAAGGAGGAGGGAATGGGGCTTGGGCTGCCTCCCCACTTACCCACAGGCCACATAGAGAAGCTGGAACCGGCCGTTGTAGCAGCTCTTATGATGGAGAGTCTGAGCAGAATCGAGGGGCAGGAAGTGGATGGTGAAAGATTCCGGGGTGGGGGCTGCTGGGGAAGGTGATAGAGGGGCCACATCTTGCAGGTACTTTCATGAGGGCGGAAAGCCAGAGACATATATAGAGCTGGGCAGAGCTGGGCAGGCACAGGACTTGGAGATAACATTCCTTGTCCTCTTGAAGCTTTTAAAAAAATCTTTCGCCGGGCGCGGTGGCTCAAGCCTGTAATCCCAGCACTTTGGGAGGCCAAGGCGGGTGGATCATGAGGTCAAGAGATCAAGACCAACCTGGTCAACATGGTGAAACCCCGTCTCTACTAAAAATACAAAAAATTAGCTGGGCATGGTGGTGTGTGCCTGTAATCCCAGCTACTCAGGAGGCTGAGGCAGGAGAATTGCCTGAACCCAGGAGGCGGAGGTTGCGGTGAGCCGAGATTGCGCCATTGCACTCTAACCTGGGTAACAAGAGTGAAACTCCGTCTCAAAGAAAAAAAAAAAAAAAAAAATCTTTCCCCTGAGGTGGATTTCTGGAAAATTCTGGGAAGGTCAGCCCAGCAGGCAGAGACCCACTGTACAGATCAGGCAACTGAGACTCTAGAGAGGGAAAGAGAGTGGGTGGCCAGGGCCACATGAGACATACCCTGCCCGACAGACACTCAGGGAGGGCCAGGTGGGAGGATGGCTGGAAGGAGGCCCAGCCAGGATCTGGGGTCCGGGATGGTGTCCAACGGGGAGCTGGGACCCAGAACCCTGGGAGAATATTCTTGGACAGCATAGACCTCTGCAGATAAGATTAGAATTCTTTTTTTTTTTTTTTTTTGAGACGGAGTTTCGTTCTTGTTACCCAGGCTGGAGTGCAATGGTGCGATCTTGGCTCACCGCAACCTCTGTCTCCTGGGTTCAAGCAATTCTCCTGCCTCAGCCTCCCGAGTAGCTGGGACTACAGGCGTGCGCCACTATGCCCAGCTAATTTTTGTATTTTTAGTAGAGACGGGGTTTCACCATGTTAACCAGGATGGTCTCGATCTCTTGACCTCGTGATCCACCCATCTCGGCCTCCCAAGGCGCTGGGATTACAGGCGTGAGCCACCGCGTCCGGCCTAAGATTAGAATTCTACTACTGGAATTAAGAATCCTAAGCATGCTCTCAGGATTTAGGAAAGGGAGAGAAAGAGAAGAGGGAAAAAGAGACGGAATATCAAGAAGAAACCGACACTGGCCCACGCACTCCACATCATGTCAGTCCCCATTCCAGTGTGAAATGTCTGGAGGCTGCAGTCCCTGGCTTACCTGGAGTCCCTGGCCTACCTGGAGTCCCTGGCCTACCTGCAGTCCCTGGCCTACCTGGAGTCCCTGGCCTACCTGCAGTCCCTGGCCTACCTGCAGTCCCTGGCTTACCTGCAGTCCCTGGCTCCAGGCTTCCCTCGGCATGCTGCTTCTCCTCTGGGTTCCCCAGGGTGGCTCTACAGCGACCCCAGGCGGCCACCTCGCGGAGCATTTCTGTCACATTGTGTTGAGTGATCTCACCCGCCGTCTAGGGATAGAAGGGGAGTGGACAGACGTCGGGGCCAGGATGGCGGTGGGGGGCTTAGAACGCGGGGAGTCTTGGTCCAGGACTAGAACTCCCGGAGCGGCTTGGAGGATGTGAAGTGGGGCGGGACCTATCCGGCGGGGATGGAGCCTGTTCCCTGAATAGAGTCGTCCCCGCGAAGTGAAAGGCGGGGATCTGGAGCTGGGGGCAGAGCCTGATGTGGGGGGCCTGGTGTGGGGTCGGGCCTTTCACAACCGCCCACCCCCGCCCCACCACTACCCCCAGTCCCAGCCACTCCGCGCACCTTGACCGGCTGTCCGTTGCTGGTCCGAAGGAGGCTCTCGTCGTCCGCTTCGATGCCGAAGGCCACAAAGGGCCCCGTGGCGATGTCCCCCCAATACCCGCGCGCTGCCACGCGCTCCCCGCGCTGGAAAAGGAGGGAGAGAGGAGGCAGGTGAGGTCGATGTTGGGGACCCTGACTCCTAGGTCTCCGAGAAGCAGCAGCGGGCCCGGACAGGCAGTGGACACGCACGTAGCTCAGGAGGCGACCAGACGCCAGAGTCCGGTTGGGCACGTGATAGGCGCTGGAGTCCCTCAGTTCAAAGGCGACGCCTGTGTCCCGCCAGCGTCGGAACTCCTGGGTGTGAATGACCTGGGCCTGGGGTGCGAGCGGGAAGAACGGAGCCCTCAATGAAAGAGCATGGAGAGACCAACACCTTCCTCCCTCGGACCCAGGAGTACAGACCCCAGTCCCTCCTCCCTCAGACCCAGGAGTCCAGACCCCCAGCGCCTCCTCCCTCAGACACAGGAGTCCAGGCCCCCAGCGCCTCCTCCCTCAGACCCAGGAGTCCAGGCCCCCAGCGCCTCCTCCCTCAGACACAGGAGTACAGACCCCCAACCCCTCCTCCCTCAGACACAGGAGTCCAGGGCCCCAACCCCTCCTCCCTCAGACCCAGGAGTCCAGGGACCCAGCGCCGCCTCCCTCAGACCCAGGAGTCCAGGTCCCAGCTCCTCCTCCCTCAGACCCAGGAGTCCAGACCCCAGCCCCTCCTCCCTCAGACCCAGGAGTCCAGCCCCCAGCCCCTCCTCCCTCAGACCCAGGAATCCAGGCCCCAGCCCCTCCTCCCTCAGACCCAGGAGTCCAGACCCCAGCCCCTCCTCCCTCAGACCCAGGAGTCCAGGCCCCCAGCCCCTCCTCCCTCAGACCCAGGAGTCCAGGCCCCAGCTCCTCCTCTCTCAGACCCAGGAGTCCAGACTCCAGCCCCTCCTCCCTCAGACCAAGGAGTCCAGGCCCCAGCCCCTCCTCCCTTCTCCTGGGCCCCTCACCCCACGATCGTGCAGCTTCATGCGTAGGTCCCAGTCGCTGACACCGCGCCGGGCGTCGTAACGCGAGCCCAGGTAGTGGCGCAGCCGTGAGTCCCAGAGGCGGCTCATGGGGAAGGCCTCGGGCCCCTTCTCGCCGCCAGCCCAGAAGCGGAACACTGCCTCCAGGGCGTCCCGCTCACGGAACTGCGGGGTCAGGCACGCGCAGGGAGAGAGTAAGGCAGAGAGGGATGCAAGGAAAGCAGCTTCTAGTTGACCCTTTCTTCCATCCCAGGACGGGGGAACGATTCTCCCATTTCCCGGATGAAAAAACTGAGGCTTCTAAAGCAGAAGCCACCTCCTGCCCCCAGGCCAAATCTCACAGCGGGAGTCGCGGAGCTGGGATTCGAACCCCTGAGTCCGCCGCCTGCTCCATCAACGCACGTCCTTTGGACTGCGCACTTCCATTCTTCCCGCGGCCACCCGATCCCAGGCAGTGACCGGATGGAGGTCGGGCGGCCGCACCTTGAGGGCGCGGAGGCTGAGCCAGGGCAGCTGCTCCCCCAGGCGGTCGGGCTCGGGGACCAGGTGGGCCAGCAGGTCTGCCTGGGCGCGCACGAAGGTGGCCACCGGTGGGCGCAGCAGCGCGTTCCCCCACACCTCCAGGAAGGTCTCGCTCCGCTCTAGGGAGAGGAGGAGATGATTGGGGGAATGTGCGGAGGAGAGAGACCAGAAATTAGACCCTTCCTATGTTATTATGTCATAGTCATATAATGAAAACAGTGAACCCCAGAAAACTCCCCACGCATCCTAAAAACTGCATGAAGAACAAGACAGGGCATGGTGGCAGGTGCCTGTAATCCCAGCTAGGGAGGCTGAGGTAGGAGAATCGTTTGAACCGGGAGGCGGAGATTGTAGTGAGCCGAGATGGCATGCCAGCCTTGGCAACAAAGGGAGACTACGTCAAAAAAAAAAAAACAAAAAACGCCTGTAATCCCAGCACTTTGGGAGGCCGAGGCGGGTGGATCATGAGGTCAAGAGATCGAGACCATCCTGGTCAATATGGTGAAACCCCGCCTCTACTAAAAATACAAAAAAAAAATAGCTGGGCATGGTGGTGCGTGCCTGTGGTCCCAGCTACTCGGGAGGCTGAGGCAGGAGAATTGCTTGAACCCGGGAGGTAGAGGTTGCAGTGAGCCGAGGTTGCGCCATTGCACTCTGGCCTGGCAATAGAGCAAGACTCCGTCTCAAAAAACAAAAACAAACAAACAAACAAAAACACCTAGAAGAGTGAATTCGAGTTGCAGTTTCCACACTGACCACAGACAGGATATTTGGAGAAAAAAGATAACAATGCAACAGTAAACAGTAACACAAACTGTAATATATGGTGTAAGCATGTACATTGTATTACATATAGGTAATCTGGAGATGATTTGTGGTGTATGGGAGGATGTGTACAGGCTATTTGTGAGTACATCTTTTTTTTTTTTTTTTTTTTTTACAGTGTCTCGCTCTGCTGCCCAGGCTGAGTGCAGTTGCTCCATTAGAGTTCACTGTAGCCTCGACCACCTGGGTTCAAGGTGTGGGCAACCCCCCATCAGGGCACTGAGCAAGGAGAGCTAAGCAGAACCCCGGTACAATTAGTACCTAAGAATATCTTATAGTGTTACTACTCAGTTATTTCCTTTATATAATCCTTTATATGTAATCATGTATTAGTTTATACTCAGAACAATTAGTGCCTGAAGAATATCTTACTACTCGGTTATTTCCATGTATATATATAATTATATCTTCGTTCATAGTCAGAGGAATGTCTAGAGCAGACACAGTATAAAGCATGAATTAAGGAATAAACACCCATATATATATATAATCATATCTTGCTTATAGTCAGAGGAATGTCCACAGCAGACACAGTGCAGAGCATGATTTAAGGGAAAAACAGTTATACCAGGACAAGAATCTATGGCTGAGGCAGTAGTGCCCCTGCCTGAAAGGGCACATGCTACATGGCAGGCTGGCCCAGGCAGCAGTGTTCAGTATTGTAAAGATATTCGCTGTATGGCAGGCTTGCAGCAAGAGTCACTCCTCCTGAAAAGGAGTTGCAGTACCTTGCGTCCAGTTCTTCTGGAAAGCTGGCCTCAAGTTGGCAAGCCCGAGAACATCTGAGGGCTTAAAACCCCCCTGGTATAATCGCTCCTAGGTGGCTGTATACCTTGTCAGCCCTGTTGCTATGTACTGATTCAAAGCATCCTCCTATAGAAATCACTGGAAGCTGCCAGCAGGTGGCTGTAGACCTTGGACCTCTTTAGCTACTGTGCTGACTCAAAGCATCCTCCTACAGAATTCCTTAGAAGTAGCCTGCCCCTACATAAGAGATGGTGCACACTGCACCATCTTCACTGCACATGGCCCACCTCCTTGCCTGGGTGACCTAATGGAGGTTGACCCCTTGTTTATTGCTCATGTGATTGTCGTGACCCTATCACTGTCCTTAAGATGACCTCACTCACTACACCATTTTATAAGGGACTTGAGCATCCTCAGATCTTGGTATCTGCAGGATTCCTGGAACGAGTCCCAGTGATACTGAGGGATGGCTGTATATACCTTTAGTTGTACATAATGTATATACACATAGACATATAGTTTCATGTTAGTGTTTAAGAACTTTATAGAAGAGAACTACATGCCTTTAGTAAGATAGATCGGTTTAGTTCTCGTTATTTAAGAACTCTGAACAATCTGTACTGTGCAATGCACTCTGGATGCCCTGTGTTATTAATGTCCAAATCTCAGATAGAATTGTAATTCCCAGTGTTGGAAGTGGGGCCTGGTGGGAGGTGACTGGACCCTGGGGGCAGATTTCCCCCTTGCAGTTCTCATGAGAGTGAGTGAGTTCCCACAAAATCTGGTTGTTTAAAACTGTGTGGCACATCCCCACTGTGTCTCTTGCTCCTTCTCCCACCATGTAAGAGATGCCTGCTCCCCTTTGCCTTCTGCCATGGTTGTAAGTCTCCTGAGGCCTTCCCCAGCCATGCTCCCTGTACAGCCTGTAGAACTGTGAGTCAATTAAACCTCTTTTCTTGGGGCCAGGTGCGATGGCTCACTCCTGTAATCCCAGCACTTCAGGAGGCCAAGGTGGGCAGATCACCTGAGGTCAGGAGCTGGAGACCAGCCTGGCCAACATGGTGAAACCTCTGCTCTACTAAATACAAAAATTAGCCAGGCATGGTGGCACATGCCTGTAATCCCAGGTACTTGGGAGACCGAGGCAGCAGAATTGCTTGAATCCACCACCCAGGTTCAAGCAATTCTTATGCCTCATCCTCCCAAGTAGCTAGGACTACAGACTCATGCCACCACCCCTGGCTAATTTTTGTATTTTTTGATAGAGACAGGGTTTCATTATGTTGGCCAGGCTGGGCTCGAACTCCTGACCTCAAGTGATGTCCCCTGCCTCAGTCTCCCAAAGTGCTGGGATTACAGGTGTGAACCACAGCACCACCGCACCCAGCCTCTCCTGGAATTTTTTTTTTTTTTTTTTTGACACAGTCTTGCTCTGTC